CATTGAAGACGGGTTGTACCGGACGTTGGTCGAGCTCCAAGACGGTACGGCGTCGCCCTTTCTTGACGGCGCTAAGGACAACATCGTGAAGTCGCAGCTCGCTCGACAGGCTAGCAGTGCGTCGCACCACCAAATCAACTTTGACGCGCTGTCGTCGGCGTCGGTCGAGTCGGAGATGCGGGACGTGTCTTTGCGCCAGATCATGGAGCTGACCAAGCCGCAGCGCAAGTACCTCGTCGTTGGCTTTCTGGCGTGCTGCATTCAAGGCTTTTCGATGCCCGGCGTCTCGCTCATCATCTCGAGCGCCATGTCGGCCATGCAGAAGAACTACGGCCTCTATTTGGACACGAAGAGGACCGAGTACCTCGACACGCTCTACTCCGACGTGCGTGCCCAAGGCATCATTTTCTTTGGCGTCGCCGTTGCTTCGTTTTTTGTCGCTTCTCTTCAGCTGTTCTCGTTCCGGTACATTGGCGAGAAGCTCACGACCCGGCTTCGCAACATGCACTTCCAGGCGCTCATGCGCCAGGACATTGGCTACTTTGACATGGACGGCCACACGACCGGCGCTTTGACAACCGACCTCTCGACGCACGCGACCAAGGTGGTTGCGATCGCCGGCGAGAACCAGTCGCTTATCGTGCAGACGATCTTTACGTTCATCGCGGCCATGATCATCTCGTTTGGCTTCGGCAGCTGGCAACTCACGCTCGTCATGCTCTGCACCATGCCTCTTTTGGTGATGGCCTCCTTGTTTCGAGGCCCGGTGTTGGCGGGCCAGAAGGTCAGTGACAGCCTCTCGCTCTCGGGCTCGGTCGCCACCGAAGCCATTGTCAACGCCCGGACGGTGACCGCACTCGGCCTCCAAGAGACGCTTGCTGCCAAGTACGACGAGATGCTCGAGCAGCCGATGAAGGACGGCGTCCGCGAGTCGCACATCAACGGCATCATGAATGGCTTCTCGACCTTCTCCATGTTTGCCGTCTACGCGCTGGTGTTCTGGTATGGCAACAAGCTCATCCAAGACGGCGCCATCAGCTTCGACGAAATGATCCGCACGCTCATGGCCGTCATGATGGCAGCTCAAGGCATGGGCCAGTCGGCTGGTTTTATCAGCGACACCGACTCGGCACAAAAAGCAGCGAAAGTCATCTTCGCGATCGTCGAACGTAAACCGATCATCGACTCGTCCAAGGTCGACGAAGGTGTCGTGCCCAACTCGGTCGAAGGTCGCATCGTCTTCAAGGACGTCCATTTTCACTACCCGACCCGCCCCAACATCCAAGTCCTCAAGCACTACGATTTGACGATTGAGCCGGGTCAGACGGTCGCGTTTTGCGGTCCCAGTGGCGGCGGCAAGAGCACGGTCGTGGCGCTCCTCGAACGCTTCTACCAGCAACAAGCCGGCTCCATCACGCTCGACGGCCGCGAGCTCGCGACGCTCAACCTCCCGTGGCTGCGCAACCAGATCGGTCTCGTCGGCCAAGAGCCCGTCTTGTTTGTGGGCACGATCGCCGAGAATATTGCCGGCGGCCTCGCCAACATTGACAACGTGCCGGACCTCCAAGCGCGCGTGGAAGCGGCCGCCAAGATGGCGAACGCCCACAACTTCATCTCGCAGTTTCCCGACGGGTACGAGACGCAAGTGGGTCTCAAAGGCGAGCAGCTCTCGGGCGGCCAGAAGCAGCGCATCGCGATCGCGCGTGCGATCATGAAGAACCCGTCGATTTTGCTACTGGACGAAGCCACGTCGGCGCTCGACTCGGAGAGCGAAAAGGTCGTCCAAGAAGCGCTCGACAAGCTGCTGGCGGCCAAGGGCCGGACGACGATCGTGATTGCGCACCGCCTCTCGACGATCCGGAACGCCGACAAGATCTGCGTCGTGAGCGGCGGCCGCATCGCAGAGCAAGGCACACACGACGAGCTCATGCGTCTCAACGGCATCTACACGCACCTCGCGTCGCACAACCAGATCTAGTCTGCCTCACGCTACGATCGCAGTAGTGCTGTCTAGCATTTTACGTCAATATAGACACGTTTTGCTCTATTTTTGGAAATGGATGGTTCGTCAGTGTGACATATCATCAGACAGCTTACATGCAATAACGTTACTACTTTGGTTGGGTCGACGGCTCTTGACGCAGACAAGGCCGGCGACGGCAGCACCGCTCGCAGCACCGAGACCTAGCCACGACAGTCAACTTGTCATCAATGTCGTATCGAACGCGTTCGATATCAAAACAAGCGTCCTGTGTGGCCTTCACACGACACGACTTTTCGATCACCCGCCACCCATTCGTAGAGCATCAACGGCGAGCGGTGGGTTGCTGTGTCCACTTGGCTGCGTCGTCCGTTGCTTCTCTTGCGAGACGTGGTAGCACTCGTGGTTTGAGCTCTGCGCCGATTCACATCACCCGCCCGCATAATCTGTACACGCAGCTCGAGCTTCGGAACCGATCGCTTGTCGCGTGCCTTGTCGTGGGCGGCGATTTCCCAATTAAAGTTATTGCACCTTGCCTTTGTGTTTCTACTTCTCGGCGTTCTTCGCCCATCACGGTTGCTACCTCGATGGACAGTGTCAGTCATCCACCAAAGCGCCTCAGGCGTCAGCATCAATTGCGTCAGTAAATTGGCCTGTCGGAGTCTCAAAAACCTCTGTCCGGAACTGATCCGGATAAAAATTGGGCTCGATGGCGATCTTTCAACGCCGACTTATTCGAAATCTCTGTTTCCCGCCACGGGTGTTCACACTATTAAGAGCTCCCACACGCGCCTTACACACGATGCTATTACTTTTTCCGTCGTTTGAGAATGCGTCAGCGGAAACTCTAATACCCTACAGAGCGCAAGATCGCGTCCAAGCGCTTTCGGCCCTCGAGCTCGGTGTGGTCTTGCATACGGAACTCGAGCTTGGGCGTGTACTAGACAAAATGCCATGAATTTGACAAAGGACACAGCTACGTACGCGGAGGCGGAGGTGCTGCGTCATGCGCACGCGGAGCCAGCCCGTCATGCCCATGAGACGGTGCCGGACTTTGGCAACCGCCTTCTTGGAGACGGCCGAGCCGTCGGGTCGCGAGACGTCCCAAAACACAATGGCGTTGCGGAGGTCCGGCGACGCCTTGACCTAGACAGCATCGATTCCTCGAGCAGACGTGATGCCGTTGGTCGTACTTGGGTGACCCACACTTGCATTTCGTGCGTGCACAGATCCGTGTGCATCACAAATGTGTCCTGAAGGAAGGACTGGAGGATGTTGCCGTTGCGCTCTTGCCGGTGGCCAACGACTTCCGGGTCAAAGCGCGAGTTGACGGTCTTCTGCAGCGGGATTTGGTTCTTGTTGGCTGCCGGTCGCCGAGCATTCTCGTCCGCGTTCAGTGCGTGCATGGCGCGGTCCGGTGACAGCATTTGCGTCACGCGCTTCTTGTTGTCTTCCTTATCGAGCTCTTCGAGCTCGCGGTCAAACTCGGCTTCGTCGTCTTCGTCTTCGTCGTCTTCGTCGTCGCCAGCAAGGAACGCCTCAAACTACGGCCATCATAAGACAGCGTCTCTGGCGCTAGCATCGCTTGCCTCTTCTTCCGTCATCATGCCGTCTTCCTCCTCCAGCGCCGCTTTGCGCGCGAGCGGAATCATGTCCATCTCGAGCGAGTGCGGGTCGTTGAGCTGATCCATGGCCGCGCGCAGGTTCGTGCGCTTCACTTCGGCATCCGCGGCTTCAAAGCCCGACATGTCAAAGCCACGAAAGGCCTCTTGCGTGTCCTAGGCCAACGCCATGAGGCGATGCGTAGACAGGCGGCGGGACGTACGCGGACACCGCGCTTGATCGAGAGCCGCGAAGCCGACTTGCCCTTGCGGGCGCAGAGCACGGTCGTTGTCTGGAAGGCGCGAATGCCACGGTAGGCGGTGCGGGCGGCTCGCTGCTGCAAGGCCATCGACAGCATCGTGTTACTCGATGATTCACTGGCATAGGGCAGACGGGCAACAGTGTTTAAAACAGTTTTGTACACAGCAGTTTGGCGGTCGTCTCACGCGGGCAGGAGTCGACGATACGCGGCGGCTTGTACGAGCGATACCATTGCACACAAGCAGGTCATGAACCTTTTACGTAGGTCCGACGGCAGCCACACCGCGATCCATGCCGTCTCGTCTCGTCCGGTGCACGAGAAGGTTCGCATCGTGTATCAAACCGTTTTATACATGTAGCAGATGGTGTGACATTGCCGTTTTATACTGTTCGTTTCGAATGCAGAAGATCCCGGCCGCGCTGCTGGCCGTCGTCGTCGCGGCCAGCGCGCCGCTCTTTCCCTCGGACCATGTTAACGTCACGAGCATGACAAATGCCACCTTTTACGCGCTGCTCGAAGGCCCCGAGCCATGGATCATTGATTTCTATCACCCCTAGTACGACGGGCTTTCCGAGATGTCCCAGTTGACGTGGTGTTGTTGCGTGTAGCTGCGCCCACTGCGTCGAGTACGCGGTCGAGGTCACGTCGATCGCCGCGCACTTTGCGTCGCAACGGGCTGTGCGCGTCGGCGCCGTGAGCTGTCTTGAAGCCAAGGACCTCTGCGCGGCGCAGCACATGGCGGCCTTTCCGGCCATCGGCTATTACAACTTTGGCCTCGGCCGCGGCCTCAATTATGTGGACGCTGGCGCACCCCTCCTTGCAGACGTTGTACAGACCGTGCAGACGCTGCAGAAAGGCTTCCACCCCGCCGACCCGAAGGTCGACCACCGACCGTTGGTGCTGCAGTATCAACCCTTTTCGCCTTGGACGCGGTCCCACGACGCGGTCGCCGCCTTCCTCTTTGGCCTCCACCACCACGTCTTTTACCAGCGAGCGACCTTGCGCCCGGCGCTATTGGCTGCGCTCTGCGAGTGGATACACCTCGTGGCAGACGCGATGACGCACGGCAGTCATCGTCGCGCTGTGCTTCGTCTGCATGCCGCGCTGCGCCGCAAGACGACGCTCGAGGCCGACGAATGGCAGCAGCTCCTCGCGCAGTGGGCCGCGAGCACCGACGACGCTCTTTTCCACGGCGACGGCTCGACGTACTTGGCGTGTACGTCGTACAACTGCGGTCTCTGGATGCTGCTCCACCGCATGAGTCTCTCGCCTGCGCCGACCCGCCTCGTGCCGACGCTGCAGCTGTTCATGCAGCACTTTGGGCACTGCCCGCCGTGCCGGTACGACCAATATGTCGATTGTCTGTGATGCTGATGAAGGACGTAGCGCCTTCCTAGAGACGTACCATTCGATCGAGACACTGGAGATACTCCAGCACGCGCCGCGACCCGCGATCGCGTTGCATATGTGGCGACTGCACAACGCTATCAACAGCATCGCGCGCTCGGCGTGGCCTTCACAAGATGAGTGCCCGCAATGTCGATCGACGACCGACTGGGAGGAAGCGGCGGTTCTCACGTACCTTCACGCGACCTTTGCGACCGCCGATGCACCCCATCTTCGCGACGCAACCGGGATGGCGCCACCGTGGTGGCTGCCATGGCTAGGTCTCGGAGCTGCAAGCGGTGCTGCCGTCGCCGGCCTTATATGCTTCAAGAGCCGTCGACCCAACCAAAGTAGTACCAAGTTGTCTTGAGACGATAGGAAACTACAATATTGTCTTGAGCCGACACGACATGATGGCAATCTATCAGTGTTTCAAGGTAGTGAAAACAGGTTTAAGGTTTAAAATGATGTAAAATGCTAGACAGCACTTCTGCGATCGTAGCGTGAGGCAGACTAGATCTGGTTGTGCGACGCGAGGTGCGTGTAGATGCCGTTGAGACGCATGAGCTCGTCGTGTGTGCCTTGCTCTGCGATGCGGCCGCCGCTCACGACGCAGATCTTGTCGGCGTTCCGGATCGTCGAGAGGCGGTGCGCAATCACGATCGTCGTCCGGCCCTTGGCCGCCAGCAGCTTGTCGAGCGCTTCTTGGACGACCTTTTCGCTCTCCGAGTCGAGCGCCGACGTGGCTTCGTCCAGTAGCAAAATCGACGGGTTCTTCATGATCGCACGCGCGATCGCGATGCGCTGCTTCTGGCCGCCCGAGAGCTGCTCGCCTTTGAGACCCACTTGCGT